TCTCTATTTTTCCTGTTTTAATATCTCCATTGTGATTTCCCTTTAAAGTTTCTTCTTTTAAATGCTTTTTAATGTCTGATCAATGTATGATACCTCTTTGAATGTGATTTAAAGTGATCCTGTGCAACAGGAAACATACACCAAATAAATCTTTTGCATCAGCACAGTTATGGTATTGAGTGAGTGTACGAGTTTATGGGTTTATTTTCTGTCTTCTTTAAATCTATTAGAATGACGTGCTTTTAATAAAGTAGCATTTCCTTTGTACTCTCTTAAGATAATGTTACTCTGTGTACAGTTTTCTGGTTATAGGACTAATCTTAGTAAGTAGCATGGTAAGAATCAAATAACAGGGCTTTTAATAGTTCAGTCAGCCCCCCCTGCTTGCTCTTAATACAGGCTGCTTCATGCAGGGCTCAGATGAAGGAGGATTTACAGGATGGGAAGTAAATAACAGGAATTAGATGTGTTTCCCCAGGTGGATGGCCTCTCATGGCTCTTTGCAGGCATTTGTTGGCCATATTTCACAGCCTGAACGTTTCCTGGCTAGTTCCAGATGTCCAAACCAGAGCCCGTTTTGTGTTTCTTTAGTCACTCCCACATGGAAAAGTGTGTGTGTCATTTGCTTTCTGATGGAAAACTCATCATAGGAACATGCAATTACCTCACATGGCTGCTTTTGTTGTTGTTGTTGTTCTGGAATGTCATGCTATGGAGAAGCACCCCGAGCACTGTGATGTGGGACCTTCCCCACCAGCCCGCTGACCCACATGGAGCCTGAGAGCAGATGCTGATCCCACCAGCTCACATGGGTCACAGCGCTGCTCCTGGCCTGGTGGGATGGCATCTCCTTACCACAGTGTAGGCAAGAGGAAGGCATTCTTAATGATAATTGATGGGGAAACTTAATTCCTGCATATTTTTTGTTGGATTTTGTATTTTTGCCATAAGTTGATGTTTTTTCAGATGCTGAGTATTGCAAATGCCTGTTAAGAGGATATAGGTAGTGTTGAGGAAGAAAGACTTTAGGGTATATGATTTCTGCTTATGTATTTGTGACATGATCCTCCTTTGTGCTTTTAAATTTTACAACAAGCAGTCTTATTGATTTGTGCATAACTTCTGCAATATAATCAAAAGCACTAACATAACGAACAACATAAAGGGTATTAAAGGGAATGGCAGACAATTCCCAGTGCTGTTAATCAGTTCTGTGGTTGAGCTTAGGGATGAGCCATTCATGTTTATAGAAGCAATAACCATGGTATCTGTTTACCATGGTAGAGCCCTAATAGCAATTTTACATCAAATTTATTAAGTATTTCCCCCTTTTTCCTCCAAATCACTCCAGGAACATAAAAAATGTTTAGACATATTCTGCTCTTTCTTTATGAAGAAACAGTTTTGAAATACAGTTAGCGCAAATTTCCTCAGCTTTCATGCCATCATATATATGTTTGGCTTTTTATTTATATGCTTGACAAGAGCACAGCTCTTGTATTTACCACTGACAGATTCCCAGCTGTCTCTAAGTCCAACCTTTTGACCTTGGTAGAATATCATTGACTGTTTTTTGAACTTTGTTCCACATCTTTTTTCCTCAGTCCTCCTATGTCACTTGAGCATCACAGACTTGTAAGTATATTCAGTGTGAAATTAAATTTAATATTATTAGCCTTAACCCATGGTTATTTGGAAAAAGAGTTTATTTGCTTTTTTTTCTTCAATTAATGAATGAGATGCTTAATTGCCATAAAGTCAAATAGAAGATACATTGAATCAAGAATTCTCTTAGTGGAAGACAACAAATGCTGTTATATGCACATAACTCCAAAATATGTTCCCTGAGATACGTGTTGGATCATGGGTGTCATAAGATAGGCCACTGAAATTAAGCCATGATGCCCCTGAGGAGAGTTTAACTTTTGCATTAACTTTGGGCACACAATTCCTAAGAGCAGATTTGAAGAGCAGATTTTGAAAAAAATGTACAAGAATAAAAAATAACCTCTTAATTTCATATTAATAGTTACATTAAACATCTTTTACTTCTCAAATTGAAAACAAAATATATTTTTAGTTATAAACAGGCTTTGCTCAAAAGGAGTTTTCTTGATCCACCAGTTCCTTCTTGTCTTATTTGTAATAGTTCTCAGATCTAAAAGTTTAGCTGTTAAATGTGCTCTCATAATAACCCCAGATGTACCTCTCAAAATTTCCATAAGCAGTGAGATGATAATAAGTTTCTTTCCTTTTCCCACAGAGTTTTTGTAGCTTTTGTGCAATAGCTCATCTTAATCTTTGTAGCAATTCTGGTCTTTAAATTGCTGGCAATTAACCACATATAGGATGTTCAATTTTCTATTCCAAGAGCATTTCTTAAGTGGTTCAGGTATACCAACATGCATTTGCTTTCCACTCGTATACTGCCGCTGATCTTAGAGTAAGGAATCCTGTTGACTTTCTTTAGTTGAGACAGTAATAGCTGAGGATATTATTTTTCTTATTGTTATTGTCATGCCCAGCTGCCATAAAATTCTGTTCTTCTCAAGTATTATGACGACACTAAGATAAAGACACCACATGTGTGTTTCCCTCCGATAAACTAAAATGCTCTCAGCTATGGGCTAGATTGCTTTCTGCTGAAATGTCTGCAAGCTTGGAATTGAGGAAAGAGCAGTAGTATTTAAATATGTGTCAAAAATTTAAATTTCCAATAAACATTTTCCTGAAGACATTATAAATCTCTTGCATCTGCTGAGAAGAAGGTTGGCCCCTGGGTAGGCTTCCTTTCTGCTACAGCTCAAAGCTATCAGACAGAGTTATAGCAGGACGAGTCAGATATACATAATTCATTTAGCTGACTAGAGTATAGCACAAATGCTGATGAAAAGTCTCTTTTCAATACTGCCTAATATAAAGTAGGTAATTTTTCCAGTAATAAAAGAAGAATTACAGGATGAGAAACCAAGCTGCTGCTTTTGTCCTTCATATGTCAAGACATTATTGGAGTTTCACTGTGTCTTTGAATGATTTCATTTTATGTGATCCTGCAAGATTTTTACCTCCCTTAAAATAATTATAAACAAAGAAAGAGAGATATTTCTTGGTACAGAAAGAGATATTTCTTGGTACGAGGGATGGAGCTGTGCTTTTTCTGCCGTTACGCCGCAAACATCTCTGGCAGTATATTTAGTTAGTATGCTTCCCTCATAACGAGTTGAGACACTGCCATTTACCACAAGTAAATATCAAACTGATCTTGATATCTGTATCTGTCTCATGAAATATACATACCATCTAAATGTGCCCAAATGATTAATTTACTGCTATGGAGTGATTAGCATAAAAGTCTCATCACTGCACAGGATAGAAATGTTACCACTAATTGCTGGTTGAAGTGAACAATATTTTCTGCATAGAAATTAATGATGTGTGTATCTCAGCTCACTGCTCAATGGGAAATTTCAAGACTTTCTGAAAGAGAAATATGGTAATTTTTTTTCTTTTTCTACTAAATCATAGTGGAGTCTGATCACAGATAACAGAAAGGAATGTATTTTGTACACAGTCCATTTTATATTTTCAGGCAACTTATGGAAACTTGTATTTTTATTTTCCTATCTACACAATATACCTAGAAGCACTATTCACGTGGACATTCTAGTCTTTAATGTTCACCACTTCTGGAAGCTCCAACCCACTTGGGTTAAGCCTTGGCTAGCTGTGGCCAAATATTTACAACTTTTAATAATTACAAACTTTTAGTTATTATATTGTATTAGGACCCAGTGGAAGCCTTGAGGCACCTCCCTTCTCAGTAATGCACGTTGCCCCCCAAGGAATGAACTCTAGGATGTTACATCCAGCTCTGTCCTTAGTCTGCAGTTTGATCCCACTGCAGGACACACCAACTTCCTTCGGTTTGTGTCACATTTCTCTCTTCCCAGGGCTTTTTCGGTCTTTCCCTCTTATCTTTTCCAGTACCTGTACTGTAATATGGATATTAGGAATGACTTACTGAGAAGAATCTCAATAATATATGCCTTGAGGCTCACAAACTGCAAGAAGCAACTGAGACGATTACAAAGAACAAGGCAGAAGCAAACGGGTGAGAACTGCATCAGGGCTTGCAGTTACTATTTTCGCTGGTAGATGTTACTGGCAGATCAGTGCAGTGACCTTCCATCAGAAGTCAAGGTTTTCTATAAAATCAAGTGTAAGTCAGGTATGTAGAATCGAAGGAAGACTGCTCTGGAGGGGGACCATGAAGTGCTGGAGCGAGGTGATTCTGAGGCAGGGAAAGCGACCTCAGATTTTCTTTTTTCACTCTGCTCTGCTGGGTGAATTGAGAAGAACTACCCAAGCCCAGCTACATTTCACTGGTAAATGGTGATAGTGAAGATTGTCTGTGTTGTGCCTGGTTTGACAACACTGTGTGTAACATTCATGATGCACGTGAAATATAAGTTGATAGGAGAGATAAGCTTCATCTGGAGGACTAGAATAAGAAGTTAGGGCCTTTTAGCTGCATGAGAATTCATCTCTAAACCGCGTATTTTGTGTTCAGCACATTTCTATTTGCATTTGCTGTTTGTTGTAACAAACAAACAAAATTTCTCTCCTCTTGATGTTGCCATTTTAAGCCAGGATGTGGACAACAGGCAAATCTATTTCAAACTAGAGGAGTTTACATACAGGAAGGATGTGGGGCAATTATATGTAAGTGTCTGTTACCCACACAGTGGGATATATATATATATATGTCATTTCAGAAGTTTGGACTGTTGCATGCATACTAAATCTCACAAAATCACTCTGTAGTAGGACAGTATCACTGTGGAAATTTTTTTTCAGGAGGGGAAAACAGAGTAGCTTAAATTATTTTCCAAAATCCATGCAGCTAGTGAGTCCTAAAGCTCCATTTGGGACACAAAAGTTCCTACCAATCCATATTGTGT